GTATTATGTATGAGAAAATGACATGTTGAAGCTCCCACTTCCTTTTAAACACTTGCACCATGAAATTTAAGCTATGTTAGCAGTCACCATTCAAAAAACCCTGTAACAAAACAAAACAAAACAAAAAACAAAACAGAAGTTGCCATAGTAGTAGGGCAAAATCCTGCTTTGAAAAAGGAGGCAAACAAAAATACAGATATGGCAATATAAACATTAAAAATTTGCAAAAGGCACATAAAGTTCTATTGTATCAATTCCTTTAGGAAAAACAGATTTGCAAATTTATATCCAAAACAAGTGTTAAACTCCAGGTAACATCATAATGTTCCCTTTAAAACAGTGATAGTGGGGCAGCTACTAGATATATGTGTTTATATTTGTAACTGCACCTTAGAGTAGGTTATTGAAGATGCAGTCATGGTGATAAAATTAAGCAAAGGGTAGCTACATATTCTGTATGGACTCCTGAAGAATGGCTTGTCAATTAAACTTAATACAATTCTTTTACAGAGCAGTTTCATTTCTGAAAATTCATCAAAAATTACAACAGAATTAATGAAGCTTTAATCAAATATGGCCTTCAGATTATTCCCCTAAGAATGAAATTATTTTTTATTTTCTTAGCATTTGACTTGACAAGGAAAACTTACTTAGGAATGTTTTACTGATGAAACAAAGTTGCCCAGACATTATAGCAAAGAATTAGATATTATATCTTTACAAACCAGACTTGAAACACCAATATAACTTGGAAGAATGATTAACTGTGTAAGCAGGACAGATATAATGTGATTCAAAACCACTCAGTTTTTCATGAAGAAACAGTCACCAATGACAAACAAAGCTAATTACACAAAGCTCGGAGATCCTCAAGTATGTTACTGCCCTTTTGGGAACCTGAATGAAGAAAAACATAGAAAAAGTTTAAATCATAGAAGAAACCAGAAGACAACTCAAAACTGTATGGCTAATATGCAGGGAATAAAAAGTTTCTGTAGTTCCACATCTGTATTTGCATTCTGCTTGCAAAGACTGGATTTAGGGCATCCAAACTAAATGTATGCATTTTTAATACAGAACAAAAGAGAATTCTCCCCTTGATAAATCTATGGTACTATACATAGCTTTATCATTCCTCTTACATCTGGGTTTTTAAATTTAAATCTCTCAAAATATTACGGTCATTTGTGGTGCTGGAAGAAGGAACTTAAATGCCAGAAGTCTTTCTTAACCAGCTGAGGTCAGGTAGCCAAACCACATTCTTAACTCTCTAAGAAAGGAAGAGACAGAATCTTAAGAAACTATTATTTAGCATTTATAAATGGTTAACCAAGAAGCAAATTAGATTACCCCTAACCTGGAAAAATCCTGCAGCAGTAAAAAATGGACAGGATAACAGAAATAATGCTATGATAGCACCTTTTTTTTTGGAGTATGTGTCGAGTACTTAGGTACCAACAAACTACTAATGAAAACAGCTCAATGGTTATTTCTGCTACTAGATTTGACTAGAAAATTTTCTCCCATCATAAAAGAAACTGCTTTTTCATTGAAAGATGGAGCATTTTCAGAATCTTTTTTCAATGAAGTCCCACGTACTTTCACTATGTACAAAAGGTATTGTTTTAGCCTACTCTTTCACATCAAGAATGCATTTGAAAGATGTCTTTGTTGAAATATCTGTATAGTGCCCTTCAAATTATAAGATAAATTCCTAAATGTTGGCTTGGGGAATACACCTTGTAGAAGAAATAGTCCAATAGATCTCAGGCCAAAACTGCTGAGAATTTTTCTGTAATTCTAGTTGTGTGGATCTCCAGCCTTCATCTTGTGTTCATACAATATTCTTACAGTAATGGCAGCAAATATTTTCAGGTGAAATACTACTATTACTACTATATGTGATGAATTTGCATTTTCTCATTTGCTAAATGAAATTTGGCAATGAAAACCAAAGGTCAGTATCTCACTACAACAAAGAAGCAGAACAACAGGAAGAGTTCTGCAGATCAGTGGAAAAGGCTTGGGACCTTGAGTGCTACTATTTTTAATGTGTCTCTTCTTGCATTAATATTTGTGGTGATGCAAACCCTTCTTCTAAAAAATTTTTCTGTACTGATATATACTGTCCTTTGGAAGCTCTGCTCTTATGACTGGTCTTGGAAGTCAAACTTCCCTTTCACAGTAGTTTTTGACCTTGAAAATGATGGGACAACTTTCATGAATAAAGGAGTAAGCATGGAGACTTTTTAAAAAATCTGACTGCAGCTAGAAAACAACTTAAAAAGAATCTATAAGCTTTTCTGCAAGCTCTGTTATCATGCAGATCTTTATTCACACTGCATAGTCTTACTCCTGTGGCTGATTTGAGCTTCAGATTTAGACCACTTACCTGTACCAGTTTACATATGTGTTAAATGTCAAAACTCCTGTTAAATTCAATGGAAATCCAGACAACTTACCCAACAGACTCTACAGAACTCACTCAGCAGCAGATACCCTGCCCCTACTCCACAGCCTGGATACTTCAACAGCCTTAGAGGTTCTAATGGCCCAACCTGGATGTCTTGAAAGAAAACAGCGTACCCAGCATAGTCCAGGCCCCTAAATATACTTTATATCTGATTACTCCTTTTATGGCAAAGAAAAGCCTGAGTCGGTCCCCAGAGAGTGGGGGATTGTCTATATGTGGGTAAAACCAGAATGAATGAGAATGATTTAGTATTAGAATTAAATGTTCAGCTTCTTAAAATGTCAAATACTTTGCTCACATCGCCTTATTAACACACTCCAGAAAGAAAAAAAAAAAAAAAATTAGGATTATGCTGTGATTTCCTGGGTAAGTCATGAGGCTGTGCAACCTGACATATCAGTCATAAAAACTGACCCTTGCTGCAAGGTAATAGTAAAAATGATTTTGTTGTCATGAATTATAGAACCAAGACCTTTCTGCTGACTACATCATGGAATTCCATTGTAAGGCCTTCTCACCCATAAATCTTAGTACACAGTAAATCTGAAATCTTACAAGTAATTCTCAAGCGTTCAAATGAAAACATGCACTCTGAAAACATGCGCAGTAATACAAAGTAGAGGAATTCAGAGCGAAGCTTTTCAGAATCAAATATATAGGCACCCGTCCAACAGCAGAAGTTATTTTAGCTCTAGTTTTCTTTTTAAATCAACACCAGTGAAGAACTCCCGTCAGAGGGATTTTTAGAAATCATATTTTAAACCCTTTACAAAAGACACTGTTTCCTCTTGAGGGTTTAAGCATCACCTACCATGATCAAATTGACCCTGCAGCATTTAACTCATAAATAAATAAAAAAAAAAATCAGAGTAAAAAATAGTAAAGTTCAGACCATTTGCAGAGACACCGTTTCTGTTCATCAGTCCTCAGTGAAAGTCACAGACTTTGGACCTACAGATATCTATTCTGATTCCTAAAACAGATCACCTCTGAAGAAGGACATGTCTGAACTACCTAGCTTGAAGCAGGAGAGGTGAAATGCAAGACCCAGGAGTAGAATATGCTGAATACTGAAGTATAACAGCCATAGATGGAAAGCTTCCATCCATACAACGGACTTTCTTTAGGAAGAGCAGACAACTGATCTATATGTTCACTGGAGGAAATATATCCATGTAAAGAAAGGAAGGACATTTGTTGAAGCCAAAAGTCAGATTAAAAGATGCACAGGTTATATTTTGCGTCTTTATTGTTCTGTTTTTCTATTTGCTTTGTATAATGTACATTTTTGTGCTATTGTGTCTGTGTGACCATCTTGCTTACATCAATATTTTCTTCTGAATAAATATACTTCTATTTATTTCTGAAACAGTTAACCGCATAGGCTACTCCTTCCTGCATGTTTTACTATTGAGAACTTGTGATAGGCATTTGAGCATTAAAACTGGTGTGATTTTTATGCTACATATGTCCTTAATATTCAAAGGAACATTCAAAACTCAGGCTTGTTCTATCTATCAAGACTACTGTCAACAACCACTCATGATGTAGGCTGAAATATCGCATCACAAAACTAAATTTATTCAGTTTGTATGACAGACAGTTTAGTCCTTTGATTAGATCTCAGCACCACAAAAGCATTTAGCCACCCCATTTCATGTAACGATATCAAATAATACACACAGCTTCACTTGAACGGTTTATGGTTTCAACTGCAGCTCAGATTCAAACAAAAGTCTGAAGTACAAAAAACAGGTTTATTTTAGTCTGAGAGAAAATAAGCCAATCAAAATACAAATTTAATCCATACGCTAAGTACTAGTACTTTTTTTAACATTGTTTGTTTCACAAAAAAATAGCAAAGCTTTATTTGTTAGTGTCCAACGAAACCCAGCTTCTGTTACCTCGTTGTTTTGCTCTAGAAGCCACTTCTTTAATAAAGTGATTCCTCTGTAGATAGCTAATATCATCATCATGATCCAAAAGAGTAGGAACTATTACTGACATGTGATACTATTTTAATAAAAGAAAAATATTTAAAATTTGTAGTAAGCATACCCAGAGTTTTCTCTCAGTACTCCAGAACATCCTAAGTAGAAGGTTTACTTCTTTTGACTTTCCTTAATTTCGAATAACCTTCTTCTTTCTGCTCACAACCAAATAAAAAAAAAGAGGCAAAAATCAGTAAACAAAGTAGTAATACTAAGCTAACAGTTCAACTAAAAAAGCTGTTTCTGAGTGAAATGCTTAGTTGAATGCAAAGTAATTAATAAAATTTCTATTTTCCAATATAAATATAATTTGAAGTATGTTTATATGTACAGTGATTAAATAATTAAGACCAGAGCTACTTGGAAAATGCCCTTTTACATGCCGGCAACCATGACTTTCAAAATCAACTTCTTGTTGTCCAAGCTTGAGATAATGACTAAGGCTCACTCTTCAGAGAAGCGTTTAGAAGTGTCCCCAGTTAGTGCCATTGTAGTTTAATCTGGAGAGACGAGGAATCAGACTGATGAGCACCAGAGAGTCCATCCCTATCCCAGTGAACAGACAAGTCCCTCTCCTATTCCTGAGACTCCATGTGAAATTTCCCTAGAGCTGTGCCTCCACCTCACTTGAGTCCAGCAGCGGCAGTACTGCTCTGACAGTGTGGCAGCGAGAACTTGCTGTGTCCTCACACTTTCCAAAATTAGCTTGAAGGGCTCAGGCAGGTACCTGTGCTACTCACAGCCTGCCTAGAGAGTGAGGAATGCATGAGGCACTTGTGACTCTGGACTAGGACAGGACAATGCTGAAGTCCTTTGCCTGCCACTGGGAATGACCCAGACACAGTAGGGCTTGTGAGAATGGAACTGCTTCTGCAACTTGGGCAGACCAGACAAATCAGAGAACTTGTAGCTTGTCTGGCAGCACTGTTGGAACGGGGAAAGAGCACTGTCCTTTGTATTGCGGTGGAAGTTTCCCTTCAGTACTCAGACCCCTGGGGTTGTTATTCTTATGACCACACTTATTTTTAGTTGCTTCTTTTCTTCTCTTTGTGAGACCGACTTTACTGCTATAGCACTGTAGTGCTGGGCCTGTAACCAGTGACTCAGTTGTGGCCCCGTGGAAGGGCCTTTCCCAGCTGCAGCTGGATGGGGCCAGCTCAGAGCAGCTGGGCTGGCGCTTCCCACATCAACTCCTCTCTTCCCTGCTGTAGCTTGAGCTCCAGGGTATGACTGTGTTCCTGCAGCAGGCCCCTGGGGTTGCTGTACTGCCCTTTTCTGAACTGCACTGAAAGCACAGAGTGTGTTCTTTTAAATACAGCTAAAACTTCCAGGATTGTCTTGTATTTGGCTTTAAAAGCTGAACAGAACAAAAAGTAGTTTCTACAGAACGTTGCTGAATTCAAGCCCTTCAGATGAGAGACTTACAGAGCCACTGGCAATGCCCACAGTTATACTGGCATTATATGGCATCATGCTTTCTGTAGAATCAGAAAATCTGCTTCAGAAACAGTAACACCATTAAACATTTTAGTAGTATCTTTTTCTGGAGACAAACATTTTAAATGAAGGCCTGAAGTAACAGTGTCATAACCAATTGTTAATGTTAGTTTTATCCTGGTTATGGTTAGTTTTATTCAGAACTGGCTCAAAAAGATTTTTTTAGTTTGCCTGTTTTACCTGGAACATGCTAAGATGACAAAAATTTAGATTCCCTTTTTACCTCTTAAATTAGGTCCTTCTGGACTGGATCAATGGGTATTTGTGTGTGGAGTTTTTACCTGTCTTCTTCTGGCACAACCTTTCTTTGCAGATGCTTCCATATTGCTGTCCTTGACTGACAAAGTCAGTTCTGAGGTCAGTGTTTCACATGTTAGATACTTGTTCCCCGTAATTATCTGAAAGGATGCAAGTTTATACCTTCATTAGCAAAAAAAAACAAAAACAAAACAAAAACAAAAACAAAACAAAACAAAACAAAAAACAAACAAACAAACAAAAACAAACAAACAAAAAAAAACCAACCAAAACTGAGTTTTCTAATTGTTAAAAATACCTACCTTTTCAAAAGGTGCCCTTATAACACGAAGTTGAGTTAACCTACCAAATTACATGTTATGGATAAAAAAAGAGATAAGCACAGGATATTTCATCCACGTGCCCAATACATGGGATATCATCCTCATAAAAACTGTACTGCAATTCAGCTCAGCTATTTATTTCATTGAAATGCAGAGAGAATCATAGAACAGTTAGGTTGTAAAGTGCCTCTAGCTGTCATGTAATCATAACTTTCACTCAAAATAGAGCTAACTTAAAAAATAGATCACCTTGCTTTGGGCCTATTCAGTAAAGTTTTGAGAATCTGAAAGGCTAACAACCCCAAAAACTCCTCTGTGCAACTTGTTCTATTACTTGACCATTCTCACTCCAAAAATATTTCTCTAATGTCCAGCAGGATTTTTTTCCTGTTGCAACTTGTGCTTTTCGTGAAACTGTAATTAAATTTCTGTTTGCAAAACTTCCATTTTTGTCTAACACCACAATGCCTTACACACAGCTGCTGTCAGCATCACACAACTGAAGTCTGAGAGGAAGGAATTATTTAATAATATGATTTCATATGAAGACAGACTGAACACTAAACAATTTTACCATGTTAACCTCACACAGATCTTGATAAACTGATAAACTGTCATAAACAAAGAAAACCAAATTATCCCACCTTAAAAGTCCCTCATAGTAGAAGTGTGTCTCACATAACACAGTAAATCATCTTCCCCTTCAGAAAAAAAAAAACACCAGTGGCTGAAGGCATTAAGTTAGTAGAAATTTAGAAAACCATATTGAGAATGATGGCAGAACATGATGAAAGTCATGCTCTTTATTGCTTAACGCTGTTTTTGAATATACTGAATTTGTGAGAAGCAGTAAGAATGAGCCCTGTTATTTACTGTACCTGTTCGAAGTTAGATTTGTAATGATGACTGGTTGTCTTAGCGACATAGTCCTTAGAATGGCATAATGCTTTATTTTCTTCACTTTTGGAGATGCAGACTATATCTTTGAAGACAGATTCATGAATATTTAATCCCACTCCTTTATTTGATCTCTTTCTTTGTTGCAGTGATAAACTGGAATTTGTAATTTCATTGTCTAATTTACAAATCTGCGAATGCACTTCCTCTGACTGGTGTTGTTCCTTAAGAACTTGCGGGGTATTTTGACTTGCAAACTTTTTTCCCCTTCTTGCACTGGAAGTAGGAGATTCATGTGCATTCAGACTCAGATTGGGGTTGGATTTCTGAAGCACTGGCCCATTCTTAAGAAAGAAGGGAGAATTTGCCTTTTTATGATTGACTTCACTTGGATTCCCACCTGAAGCTGAGTTTTCAGAAAAATTAGAATTAGTAATTTGTCCACCAGACTCTGTTCTCCATCGAAATATGGGTGCACCATGTTTTGTGCCGGTTTTTGTTTTCATTGCCTGAAATACGCTGCTGTCAGTAGGATTTTTGACTGGCAGATTTTGAACTTGTTTGAAAACCTGAGTTATGCTGGACTTGTGGACAGTCAGCACAGAAGATGAAACACCTGTAACTTTAATTGGTCTTTCAGCATTTTCCCTTTTCATCCTATCTGTTTGATTTGTGGCCTTCCCATTCATTTGCATCAACTTTCCTTTGAAAATTGGTATAATTTTGCTGACTTTGGGGGGAAGGAACTCAGAGGCTGAGTTTACAGGTATTCCTAAAGATTTCGCAGCTGGTGACTCCGTTACTCCTGGTATTTGGTTGTTATTAATTGATTTCTCTGTTGCTTCAGTGCTAACCTCTCCTGTGCCTTTGCCGCTACTCGAAATACTGCGGGTTCCTGGCTCTTTGATCAAACGCTCCATCCAGTGGCTGTTTTCCGTACTGCACGGTGAAGGAATTCTAGGCAAAGTCGGTTTCCTTGGTGGAGGAGCCTGCGTTAGAGATACTACACAAACCATCTCACCATCCAATTTCATATGCTTAGATTTTATTTCCTGCAATAAAACAAGAGTTGCTAAACTGAATGAACTGGATTAAAAAAGTCTGATAGTGCCAGCTAATGCATCACGGTATGATACCAACCTAATACACATCACAATATATAAGCATATATATAAGCACACATTCTCCTGTTTTGAATCAGAATTACTATATTTTTTAAGAACATTTAGTTTTCAATACAAATTAAGGGTTTTTTTCATCTCCTACAGTTCTTCGTTTATAAACTATGCTGGAATCTCATATTTATCAGAAGGAAAGACTTAAATTTAAACAGTCATTATCTTGGTTTAGTGCTTTCCAACTGGATAATGTCTACCCCTTTTGAGGTGGTCTGCACAGGGTCTGATTGGCAGGGCTCCTCGTCTCTTAAGACTTCTAAGAGCATCTGTATTCTGAGCAAAAGACAGTTTGGATGTCTATAAAAACTGCAGATGACACAGAGGAGCCATTCTGGCTTTGATCACTGAAGACACATAAACAGAAAGTGCTTTCTGAAAGAGGATTACAGCATTTTAGAACCTCTGCAACTTCTGTCACTATTCTTTGTTCAGAATTAATTACTTCATTTCTTCTTTCACTGCTACCAAAGAAATTTGAGTCTCAGCCTTTGTCACAATCTCAAATTAAGAGAGTTTTGATTACTTACCTCCTTTCCATCACCAGACATTGAGCAAATCTCACAGCTTGGTTTTAAATGCTTAAGTTCACAGAACTTATTTTTAAAAAATATTATTGTTATATTATTATTAAATGGTATATTATATATTATATAATTATATAATACGCTATGCACTATACAATTATATATCATATTATATATATCATTATTATATATACAATTATATATATATAATATACCAATAATAATAACAACAACAATAATAGTACTACTACTACTACTACTAGCATAACGAATGGTTGGTGTTGGAAGGAACCTGATAGGTCATCTAGTTCCAGCTCCCCCACCATGGGCAGGGACACCTTTCACTAGAGCAGGCTGATCAAATCCCCATCCAGCCCCCCCTTGAACACTTCCAGGGATGGGGCATCCACAACTTCTCTGGACAACCTGTGCCAGCGCCTCACCACCCTCACAGTAAAGAATTTCTTTTTAATATCTAATCTAGATCTACCCTCTGTGAATTTAAAGCCATTCCTCATTGTTCTGTCACTACAGGCTGTTGTAATAGTAATAATAGTAATAGTAGTAGCAATAATAACAATAATGTAATTGTTATTATTGTTATGGAAGAGACCTGAGAAAGTTCTGGATATCCAACTGTTAAAAAAGTACCTACAGAATTACAAATACTGATAACACCAAGCCAAATTTTTTCCTGTATTTGTGATATGAATAATAACATAACAATGGCAAATAATGTAATTTTTACTTCCGCATTTAATTAAATATTACAAGATTGATAGTTATTTGTTGTGAAAAGCATAGTTGTGTGCTCTTACTATGCTCTGAATATGATGAAGACCACTTCATACCATGAAAAAGAACACGTCATTGATATGTTTATTAAAAAGCCTTACACCCACCGGAGCCCTGGAGAGTTCTTGTGTAGCATAAAGTGCTTTACTTGTCATCTTCACTGGGAATCCACATAGTTGTGTAAGACTGCTCTTCATGTCAGAAACAAAAGAGTTCACTACACTTTCTGCATCTGTTCTGGGGAAATACTGCACTGGCTGACTTCGAACGCAACTTAAAGGATACCTGAGTAAGTGTTAAGGGATACATAACAAGTTTCTTTATGTTTCCATAATTGCTAATCATCTTTGTTCAGAAGAAAGCATGAAAAGGTCTAAAGCTTTTTTAAAAAGGTGAACAAAAGCATTTAGTTTCTTACAGGACTGAAGCTTATAAAGTTACAGGACTTCAGAGTGATTGTACCATACTAACCTAAAGTAGCAAAGTACTCAATATAAGTAATTCCAAGTCTAGTCTTTCCTGGCAGGAAAATTCTCTTTAAATCAAATCTTTGTTGGTCACGTTTTTACAGGACTTTAACTCTTTGTTTTACATCACCATGATCATGTCTACAGAAGCTGTGAAACAAATGGCTCTATTTGACTAAGTATTATTCAATACTAGGACAGAGACTTGACTAAATATTTTGTTTCAATTTGTCTAGTGAAACAATTCTCTACTGGCTTCCATAGAAGTATGAAAGAAGAAAATGTGGTGCACTCAAAAATGAAAAGCAGAGCTTTGCTAGAAATGCAGTAGAGGAATTGTAACAAATACATTCTGAAAGGATACGTGAAGAACCTTTCCCCTATTGGTTTGAAGTAAACACTCAAGTATATTTTTGTCTCTTCAAGATCCTCAGGAAGAATATATCCATACTTTAAAAAAACCAGACATAATTGTGTATTACAAATAGAAACTCAATAGGCACAGAAAAGGGAGGGGAAAATGAAAACTGTATGTGTTTCTTACCAAACTCTTCCAGTGCACCTGAAATTCTTTATATGAACGGAAAGGAGATTCTGGAGGAATTATATGGCTGATGTTTATGATCTGACCCATTTTCATGCTGTGCACAGGTACAGAAGGGATGCTTAGATCAGTGTTTAAAAAAATCCAGCCAAAAATATACTGGTCTTTTGGAAAAAAAAAAAATTTGGCATTCAAAGTATTTACAGATTATTTTTCTTTTGAGGACATTTAGCTCATAAGTTTATGATACAACAATAGCAATACTTTCTGAAGTGTGGAAAAGAACTTGGCATCTACAAGTCCAGTTTATCTTGTCCGTAATACTCACTACCAGTGAATGTAGAGAAAAAACAAATATATCATTACTTCTCATATTTTTATGACAAAAAAGCATAGGTAAAAATAGTTTGTAGCAAAGATGGAAACATTTTTCTTTAAATTAACACTTTCTGCTAAAATTATATTTGAGAAAAAATGATGCTTTTGCATACCACAGAAGTAGAACAAAATTGAAATAATACTTAAATGGGTAATTTATGATTCATTGGTTAATTTTTCTCATTTTCCATAACATTGAGATAATAAAAGAAAAAATAAAGATTTGTGAATGTAAAACAGACTGCAAAACAGAAGTGTTCTTATCAGTTGTATCAAATTCACAGTTTGCAGAGCAAGCATTCCAGGAAATGTTTATTTCTGCTGAAATGTAAGCACATTCCTACCTTGGCAAAACATAGCACCAGTTACTTAATATGGAATGTTGGTGAATAACTGTATTTTCATTGCTGCCAAACAGCTTTACAGTGTTTTCTGAAATATCAAAATCTCCCAGCTTAAAACAGAAAAAAAAAAGGTTATTTTGAAATATTTCTACAGTCGTCCAAAACTAAAATTTTCAAAAGTAATTGTGTATCACAATACACTGAAGCTTAATACATTATTTTTCTTTTATCAGCTCTCACAAACTGATTATTTTAGAAGTTATTCCTGTTATCAAATTGCGCATTATCTTACTTTAGAGCTCACACTTCCACAAGCTATACAAGTACAAGGTTTAAAGTTTATTTAAATCAGTGATATTTAAACTTTATTTGAAATGTTTTCATAAGTAAGAGTACAGGAATTTCTCAAACTCAGAGCTGTCTCATGCACATTTTTTAAAATGCAAATCAGGAAGCCATGTTTGACATTCTAGTAACTGTGTATGTCACTTTGCCTAGTCAAGTGCAAATATCCAAGCAACAGAATTAATGCCACATGCAGTTTCATGCTCTCTGAGTAATCAAAAAACACCACACAGTTTTACAATGTCAAAATTTGACTCTACAGGACAACCAAAGACTGAGATTTGAGAAACATTTTATCTTTCTGTGGTCTACCAGGGTTTGCATTTATTCACGGACAGGAAAATCTGGACATTTCTGTTTTAGAAAAGTATTGAAAGGATCAAACTGATAATGAAGCCAGATCATGATCACATCCATCATTAGTCTGTGTCGTTTGGGAATTGGATTCCTATAGAGAGGTTTAATGTTTATGCTGTCCCAAGCATATCTCAGAAGAAATCCTATTCTTCTATTCTAAGAAAGAATTTTAGGAAAAACTATAAAGCCTGACAAATATGACTTTGGTGCATGTATGGGCATATGCACCAAAGGTGACACACATGGGTGTCACAATGGACGGTAAGTTTTCAACCTCAACCATGATTTCTTAAATAATTTATTAATTATGCTTACAAGCAGCATAGTCCTGGCTGCTCCAGTATTTTGGAGGCTGCAAAGAATATGAAGCAGATTCCATAATTATCATATACAGAGAATTTAAACATGGTGCTGACAACTCACCTGTAGCTTCAATGTTGTTACTCAAAAACTGTCTACGTATTACAGTGAGCCTGAAAGCTTTCTAGAAAACACTGCTAGAAGGAAATCTAGAATCACAAAGACACTCCGCTTTTTTGAAAGGTACTTCTGGAATCTCAATTTTATAATGTTTGCTGGAATTTATCAATACAGATATGATATGGATTTTGTGTTCTTATAGAAAGTGCAGATAGTTGATGACTATGATTAATGTCTTAGTGCAATCAGAAATAATCACTTCTATCCCTGTCATGCTAATTGGAAGTCACCTAACAGAAGAGAGAGATGAATAAGACAAACACATTCACAGAAAATACAACTGGCTTATACCTCAGGGGGTGGCAACCGTATAGAGCAAGCTTCCACACTGATGCAAAGCTGTCTCTCTGACACACTGAGATCTACAACTAAAATTATAAAAAAAAGCACAAAGCCTTGTTTTGAATTACAGTTCATCTGTTAGGCAGAAAGCTAACCTAGATGTTTATTTAAGGCAATTGTTAGTCAAAATGCTGCATTTGAAAATCAAAAGGTTAGACTTTCTCAGCATGGAAATTAAAATTAAGAGCATTTTAACTATGAAAAGTAAAAATAATAATGAATTGCTATCATATAGTATATCTCCCTAGAAACTCAAGGCTGGCTGTGCAACTGGATTCTTCATACCCATATCTTTCAATAGGAAAGACTATATGAGCAAGGCATGCATTTACTGGCACATCTCCAGAACGTCCACCCAGCTTTGAGTTCCTCAACATATGTCCCTGTTATAAATTTAAGCTCCAATATCCTCAAATGTAGTCTTGAACTTTTAGACTGGAATAAAAATATTACTTTGTAATTTTTACAGTAGCTAAACAGCACGCTTTGCGACTTCACTTTTGTGAACAACGAACATAGTGCTGACTGACAGTCACTATAGCTCATTTTCCTGTCTATTATTATGGAACTTTCACATCACTTCCAAGACTCACCATTTGAGGCAAGTGCATTTATTCGCAGTAATCAAAACTTTAAACAGGCAAATTTCAATCTATGGCTGTAGCTTTTAAATTACCTTTTTTGGGGGTAATTTTTCAAAGGTTCAGTTGAGCTAACAACTATTACAGGCAGAGCATCAAAGTGTATTTTGACAGAAGTGATTTCAAAATGAGAACCAAAGACACAAATGCCAAGACTGTGGCAGTGGGAAAGTTCTTAGTTGTACCTTGCTCTCTCAAGTTTGCCGTTAACAGAATTTGTACTTACCAACAGCATTTTGCTTTCCTGAATGAGACAGAAAGTCTTTCCCTTAACAAATAAAATAGATAGAAATTATTTTCTAAACTATATGTCTCAAGTCTTTACGAAAAAAAAAAAAGCAAGAATCACACAGATTTGTTTGTGTACGTCAGGAATGCTGAAAGGTGTGTTCTTTTAAGGAGAGAACTCCCCTCCTCTATCAATTAACTTTTCACTGATTTATGAACATCTTATATAAAAAAGAAAGATGTGTAAAAGTATATTGCTGGACAGCAATTTATACATCCCTTTTTCCTCCCGATAAGGAGCAACTATTTTTAAGTGACATAGGAACATAGAACTTTTTTTAACTGACTAACAGTTAATACATTTCTCAGAATCTAAAGCAAATCTGTATAGTATTACTACATATTTTACCAAATATGTTTTGCCCAGCTTTGGCAACATAAAGGATTAGACAAGCTGCGTGTATCAGGGTCACATTGCTGTTGGTGGATGCCTTTGTTGCAATCAGCTTTGTATCAGCTACCATCTAGCCCTCTACTCCTGGCTGCTACTCCTGAATCAGTTGATTTCATTCTGAGAGCCACATATTTTGAAGATACTAAGAACAGGACACTGTTATTATTGTGGCTGGAAAAAAGATAACACCATATACACTTTTCTCAGTGTACATTTGAAATTATGTATACAATTGCTCTACTTATTACCAGCACACCACAGTATCTGAAGAACATGTGCCACTGCTAAAGCATGAATCTGAAAAACAGGCCCAATTTTTTGGAAGAAATTCACTGTCCAACAATATTTGGCTTGGAAATTATTAATCTGGTACATTGCATTCAGTCGAAATAATTATTTGGTCTATTTACAAAGTTAAGGAAGAAGATGAAAAAGTGAATTGTATGTCCGTTCATGTCCGTTCCATTTATTAACGTGAATCATTGAACTTAGATAAAGGAACAATAAAGATGCAATTAAAGAAAAAATATAGGAAAAAGGGACAAAAGAATTTATCACATTGAATTAAATAATTATGGAAATTAAATTATGGAAAATAAATGCAAAAATAAAGAACTGAAAACTAAATGCTTGATCCCTGAGGCAGTTGAGTCAAATACCTTGCACCAAGAGATGGCCAGCCTTGTTCCATTTGGGTGCAAGTCTGGCTGTAAGTGTATAGGAGAGACAGGTTTGGAGAATGGCTGGAGTAACTGTTTGTGGTGCTTCCAGCTAATAATAGAAGTGCAAAAAAGAAACATACATTATTAATAATTTAACAAGTTTTTTCAAAAGCCTCAGTCAAAATTTAAGCAAGTATACTGCTACTCCATCTGCTGCTCTACAGCTCCTTTAATGTTTTCACAGGGCTGATAATAGACTAGGGGAAAAGATCAGTTGAACTATCTGGAGTACTTTACTAGATATGTAACTGTTTCCAGACGATAGGCACAACATCCAAAACTGATATTACCTCTGCTGTCAAACTCAAGACCAATCACGATAGATAAATGTAGCTTTGCTCACCCAGCAGCACCCCGTGCCTGACTGCCTGTCCCGCAGACCTTTCTCTTGACCATTAGCACTGGTCAAAATACTAATTATAATGGCTTCAAAAGAATTAACTAATACATCTCCAGAGGGATGTTTCTAGTGAGATCCTGCAAGGACCTGCTTGCAGCTCATGGTTATCAACTATACTTCGTACTTCTTATCTGCTTGTGTTAGAAAACCTGATGATGACAGGTTAGCTGTACCTATCAACATAAAGCAGTTTTGTGAGACACGCATATTTAAATGGCATATGACTTATTAATCCAGAAAAGCATTTGCACTTCTTGGAACAAAGAAAAATACACCCAACTGGCAGTGCCAGTGAATCATGAGAGCTACTGGCTAGTGCATCCACACATACATTCATAAACCCCACAGATGTTGCAGTAAATCATAGAGATAATGGTCTAAAAATATATCCACTGTTAAGCTCAGGGTTTCTGTTTCTTCTCTGTGCTTTTGCTTTGTTTTCCTGTACAGGCTGAGTAAACCCAAAGGTGAATGGGGAGACAGTTCAGCTGCCTGAGCATTCCCTGCTAGGGAATATATGGGGCACTGGTGGAGGGGGTGACACCAGCAGGAGAGCTGAGGGCTTTGGCCCAAAGGGTAGGTTGCCAATGCCCCTATGCAGGATCAGGATCCCACTGCAATTGAGAAATCTAGGGAAGTTTAAGAACTTCTAAAAACTTCTGACTCTGTATACTTACTATACCCAGACTCATAAGATGCATTTTGTCTATGGGACAGACTTTTTCACCCTGAAACTTGGCTTCTGTAGTTGAAATTGCATGGCCTATGAAAAATACTCATCTCTGGCAACAGCAATTGCAGGCAAGTGTAACAGTCTCAAGAACTGTGTCATATTTCAGCACTTACAGTAGCTTCTTGTCTTTCTACATAGGCTTGAAGTATTCCTGAATTGTAAAATGATATCTAAAAATAACAAAAAGAAAAAAATAAACAAAATGTCTGGAATTAAGAGGTGCTTTACCAAATCATAAATTAAATTCTGGTACAACAGTGACTACGCCTTTGAGAAACATGTTGTAGAATAGTTAAGCAAACACTTTATCCTATATTTTAAAGGAGATAACTAAAATTAGTTCAGGTATCTGTCATAGCGTAGTTTCATTTCTAGCTGAAGATACGTTAACAAACAAGGAAAAGTCTGCTGAAAACACAATTGTGTAACTCTGCTTCTCTTCTTGCAAATTGGGTGGCATCCTACCAATTGAGTCCATTCCATTCCATAAAAAGGTTCACAATCAAAAAAGGCCATTTCAGTCAAAAAAGTAGAGGACTTAAAGCATCCTCTACATCACTAATGCACAAAAATAAAAGTTTGCTTTAAATGAAATATTTTTACTTATCCCTGATCCTCAAACAAAACATTTCCTAGAGAAACAAACATGTATGTGTAAGAATACAATTGACCCCTAGCTGTAGTTTGGTTCAGGCTGATCAAGAAGCAACAGGTCTCACATTTTTGGGATGAACTGGCAAGCTGGAAAGTCCCTGGCTCATGTACAAGGGAGGGAAGGTGTCTTGAAAAATATTTCCAAAGGTGTTTTCGAAACCCAAAAGTACAAGATAACCAAAGTAGAGAACAAGATATGAGCACTAAATCAAAGTCTTGTCTGTCTTATCTATACTACTGGCTAACAGCCAAGTAATTCATCCTTTTAATATTAGGATCAGGATGGGCCCAATTTGAGCTCTCCCTGAATGCCAGCCCGTATGACAGCTAGCCTGCATGGCAGGTGACCCTCCCCTTGAGCAGGGACCCCTCTCAGGTTTAGAGATTCCATACCTGAAACTAAGAGATCCTTCCTCACCCAAGACCAGGAGATCCCTTATCTGTGATCTGCAGTAAGTGACTGATAGCTTGCTGAATTATTACTGTGAAGCATTATTAATCCATGCAGCAACTCAGACACTATAAACATTGTGTGGTTAATTCCACTGAATGGTTGATCCTATCTGAGATTAAGATTGGATCCAGCCACACTTAGACTCCAGAAAGTTCAGAAAGCAAGGGGGTCCACTGTGGACCTACGACTCAACTGGAAGACTTGTTAGTCCTCGCACCTCTAGTCTCTCTATGAGTCATTCTAATGCAACTTTCCTTTGCATGTTTCTTCCATGTTGCAATTATTAAGGCAAACCTTGCCACCCAACTTACTGAACCTTGTCAAGCCACTGTTAAAACTTTGCTAAATTCCATCAAAGTCATCAAATTCCATCAAACTCATTGAACTCTGTCAAATTATTATTTTACCTCAGTAAAACATACTGCTGCTTCTCTCTTTCAAGTGAGGTGCATTCTGCATATCTGCAGCAGCATGTAACTACAGATAAATATTTACACAGTGATACTGACCGACATTACAACTGAAATTTGATTTAGGGTTCCAATAATAGGTGCAGAAAGGATCTCTTGATACAGGAATAGCAACTGTCTATAAAAATAAAAAGTGAGAAAAAAATTAAAAAATTGTTTTACTCACTTGATTTTCTCATCTTTAATTTATTTTCCTCACCTTCTGCAAACATAATACTTTCCACTCTTGATCACTTTCCAGTGGTTCAGTATAATAAATTGGATTAGTCCAAGTTACTCGCTCTAGAAGATCCACAGTGGTCTAAGACAAAGACTACAGGCCTTTGGCACATGAACAGAACTCTCCAAAAGCGTTACTTATGGCAGAATTTTTCATTTCTCCTCTTTTCTATTGAAGGGAATGACATAATGCTTGGTGAATGTCAGGGAGAATACCTCTGCTTTCCAAATACTCTTTTCACCGAGTCTCAAGCCACATAAAGCATTCTACTTTTGCAGGTGAACACAGATTATCTTTAACCATTTATTAATCTGAAGTATGTGGCCCTTGTTAGTTTTAGCTGATGAAACTTAAAATACAATAGAAATTTTTTTTTTCTTCCCAACACTCAGTAAGTCTCCTGCCCAAGGAAAAAGTCTCTATTTTAAATAATTTTGTATGGTTTGCCACTGAAAATAATTTTGTTTATTTTATTACAGTTAATTCTAGTACTTCTAATAAAACATTTGAATAACATCCACCAACATCTTCTGAAAATAATAGCCCACAGCATTCTTTACCTGCAAACCTTTATCTGTGTACTCCTTGTCTCAGCTTCTGGTATCTGAGATCTCAGTGTTACTGTAGCAGCACAAAGTTTTTGCAGCTCTGGCAGACTGACAAAGAACAGAGACTGGTGCCTCGTCTTATTCATGGTATATATAGTTGATAGCCCCAAGGTAGCACCTGAGTCTTAAAAAAAAAAAAAAAATTAATTAATTTTTATAAGGCAAATATTTGTTTACAGAATTTTATAAGTATATGGAATTAGGTAAATGAATAATCAATTATCTTCTGATTAAGAATAGGTATGCAACTAAAACAGCTCAATATCCTTTTGCTATATATAGTGCATTATATTTGAAAAAATCATTATTTACAGAAGCAAAAATATTCAGACTAACGGCAAGGACAAAAGAATACAGAGTACATGCATGTACAAGTATGCACCTCTGTAATTTTTGGAGCCTCCTAAAAAGCACCAAAAGGAACCATAATTTCAGACTGAGAATGTGATCCTTTGATGCAATACGAACAAATTTCATGACAGTGGGAATAATAGGAAGTTATAGCTGTTACCTGTCTTGTTGGACACCTGTTGTGTGCTTCTATGTATTGCAGCACAGGCCAAACTCAGTGTAATGTAATATTTATGACCAAAAAAAAATTTAATATTTCAGTATTTGAATAAAAAGACATCTTTTATTAATAGCACCTTTCTCAATCAAAGTGTTTCAATGAAAGACAAGCAGGTAGAAAGTCTGCTTGTTATGAAAAGCCAAGAACAAACACTGCACACCAGAAAAAGATGTTTTAAATAGCTCTTCCCCCTCCAAACCCTTAAACGCTTCTGGAAAATGGTCTCACCATTGCCTTGAAGACAGCAATAAATATTTTGATTCCAAATTTTATGTAATCACCACATATTCCCTTGAAAAGCAATTTTGTAAAGCATGATAAAAAAATTATGAACTAGAAATACATTTTGAGGACCAATGTCAAAGATAATTTCACTGTTCTGATTTTTCTTTGCTTTGCTTACACTGTAACACATTAAACCTCAGCCATATCCTAGAAAAATCACAAGAATAGTGTTTTATAACTTTAATTTAAAAGAAAACAGAATGTTTCCTTGTTTGTTACCCCTATAGGAAAACCCATTTCAGGTTTTTTCAACAAGCACGGAAAGAAGATTTTTTTTTTTAAGATGCCAGCCAAGACCATCACTTCATCAGGGAATTCCAAAAGCTACAGCTCAAGGAAAAGGACTGTTTTAAACAAATGAGAAAGAAAATCTTGCCCTTTTGCAAACCCAGAAAAGAAAGCCTGAGTCCTCTGCTTTCATAATGTTTATTGGGGATTTTTGTGGCAAAGATGTTGTAAAACACATGCTGCAATGCTACAGTGTTAGCCTGCTGTTTGAGGCAAACTCCCCTGTGGGAACCACTTGCTGTATAATGCGTAAGTTAAATCTTCCCAGACATCTTAAAAGCTAATGGGACAAAGTGCTTGCAAAAGGCTTCTGCCATCAGGAGAGAGGATAAAGAGAGAAGTACCAGTTAACACACAACTACCAGTTACGAAAGAACTACCAGTTATAAATCACGGCAAATAAACCCAACTGCCTTCTATACAAGTAAGAGAACTTTATGTGTGTGGGAGAAATTACACCTTTAGATGCCAATAATCACGACACATGAACTTGAAACCGTCACTGAGTTCCTACTAAGCTGAACAGAACATAAGTCAGAAAACGGCTATCACAGTTTTTCTGTCAGAAAAGGCAGGTAAATCACAGAGTTTGGCAGAGATATTTGCAATTTTCAGTAACATCCTGGAAGACGGAGTGAAGAGCTTCCTTATTAAAGCTGAGAATACCACCAAACTGAGAGACAGTAGCTACTCTTACTGTCAGGCTGACGGTAAAGAAGTAGAGGCAGGACCTGAGGGTGGTGGTGGGGTTCAGTGAAGAAGTATGAAGCTGTCCTGCACACACACACACACACGTACACACACAGAGGGTGCAGAACACGTCCCTAAGCAGCAGCTCTGAGTCATGCTAGGTAAATTCTATGCCACAAAAAACCCCAAACCAACCCAAATCCAACCCAGCCTGTGGTCACGTCGGAGCGTGTCCACGGGACTACTGCTATTGACTATTGCTGAACTGACAACTAACCAAGTTGTGTGTGGACGTGAGGTGGGAATGGGGGAACCCGTACTGGACCGGCATACAAAGCCATCAGACACGTCTGAGACCGGAGCTAAAGAAACATGTTTTGCCTCAGAGAAAACTGAGGGGAAGCAGGGTGCTGGGCGGGTGACAGAACCTCACCGAAAGGAGGGGAAGGCGCTGCTCCCTGAGCCCTCAGCCCAGCCGGCAGCGACGGAAGCCTCGCTCCAAGGCCCGCCGGAGAGCTCTCCCAAGGCAGGGCGAGGGGCTCCTGTGACAGCCGTGAGGTTTTGAGGAGCTGTGAGGAAGCAGCCGGGGCAGGGAGGCTCCTGGAGCCGCCTCTGTGGTGATCACCTCACGGCGCTGCGCGGGAACAGCCGCAGCCGAGCGCGGGAGCCTCCAGGCGCTCCAGCCCGCCAGGAGAGCCGGGGGCGGGGTGGGCTGCGAGGGGAACCTCCCGGCCAGCGCCTGGCGTAGTGAGACGCGGGGCAGGAGAGGGAAGGGTGCGCCCCGTGGGCACGGCAGGCTCCCGCTCGCACCTGTGGAGAGAAAACCGGCGGCAGCCGTGGTGGTCAAAGGCAGCCGTCCTCGGGCGCCGTCCCGCGGCCACAGCTTGGCTGGGCGTGAGCCGCCGGGAAGGTGGGAAATGACACCCCGGAAGGGAAGCTCAGCGGCGGGGCCGAGGCAGAACGCGGGGCACGGTGTGCCCGGCGCGGTGGGAGCTCAGGCACAGCCGCGCCGTGTGTGCGCGGTGAGGCAGCCCGGCACGGCGCTGTGGGCATTGCCCGTGGCAGGGGTTGCACTAGCACAGCCGGGGCGCAAGCCGGCTTTATCGCAGCGGCACGAGGATAATTTGGATTAGATGTTAGGAAAAAATTCTTTACTGCCAGGATGGTGAGGCACTACTGGAACAGACTACCCAGAGAAGCTGTGGGTGTGCCATCACAGGACCCCAGAACTGCTAGTGTTGTAAGGGACCTCTGCAGATGCTCTAGTCCTACTCCACTGCCAAGGCAGGGTCACCTGGAGCAGGTTACACAGGGACGTGTCCAGGAGGGTTTGGAACGTCCCCAGAGAGACTCCACAACCTTCTTTAGGCTGCCTGTTTCAGTGCCCTGCCACCCTCAGCGTAAAGAAGCTCCTCCTCACGCTGAGGTTAAACATCAGATATCTTAGTTTGCGTCCAGCGGGTGACTATCCCGGCACCGCTCCCCGCACCAAGCCGCGCACGGGCAGAGACACGGGAGACGGTCACGTGGGGGAGGGGGCGGGGCACGAAGGCAAGTCCCGCCCCCCCACGGCGGCTGCCGTGCCGAGCGCCTTTCTTGAGTGGCATCTCGCTCCGCCAATGAGAAGCCGGCGCGGAGGGAGGGGCGGGGCGGGGCGGTGGCGACGAGCGGTGATAGGCCTGCCGTGCGGGCTCGGCTGGTGCGTGCGGGGTTCCGGCGAGTCGCTGTTGCGGAGCCGCGGGCACTGCGGGTGCGGGACGGGACGGGACGGGACGGTGCAAGGCAGGACAGGACAGGACAGGACATGGTGGGCTCCAGCGAAACCGGCAACGAGTCGTGGCGGGGCCGCTACTACCGCCTGGAGGAGGTGCAGAAGCACAACAACAGCCAGAGCACCTGGATCATCCTGCACCACCGCATCTACGATGTCACCAAGTTCCTGGACGAGGTGGGTGCCCGCGCTGCCCAGGGTGCAGCCGGAGCCCGCGCCGTGCCCCGGGCGGGGCCGGGGCTGCCCCCGGACGGGCTCCCGTCCGCCTGCCCCGGCCGGCGGGTGCGGCACGGCGGGAGCCGCCCTCAGGAGCCGCGATAGCGCCCTCGGGAAGCGGCCCCGCGCTCCGGGAGCCTCTCGGACGGCGCAAACCCGAGCGCGCCGGCCCCGCTCCCGTGTGGCCCGCTCTCTGCCTTAAACCTTCGGCCTCCGAATTGCGAGGTGAATTTGCGGGAAATGAGGACAAGGAGAAAAAAACACTGGAGTCAGTTTTAAGGGCTCGGACAAACAGGCTGTCTCTGTGAAGGCTGGGTGGCCAAGAGTGGGGCGGTATCCGTCTGCCTCTTGCTCTGGTGTGCCGACTGAGTGCGAGATTTAAAGTGAAGACTCAGCTGGGACCCCGAGCCATATTATTTCGTGAGCGAAAAGATCAGCAGCTCCTCTCTTCACACTGTTACAGTGTGTGCTGTATTACGGAACAGGAGGGAAACTTGACAAAGTGGAAGGAAAGTATCACAACATCGAGAATGTCGCAGGTTTTTGGAGTTACTCTGGTAGTTACAGAATCACAAAGTGGTTTGGATTGAAAGGGACTTTAAAGCTCATCACATTCCAACCCACCTGCCATGAGCAGGGACACCTTCCACTAGACGAGGTTGCTCCTAGCCCCATCTAACCTGGCCTTGAATATCTCCAGGGATGGGGCATCCACAACTTCTCTGGGTAGCCTATGCCAATACCTCACTACTGTAGTGGTAAAAAATTCTTCCATATATCCAGTCCTTGGTAAAGGCACTTGGTCACAGGGGCTTCTGTATGTACCTGCCAAGTGAATATATCATGGGTGACCTTAGTCCTGTGTTTTTGGCAGGACATGGTAGACCAGGTTCAGAAAATTAACACAAGCGTTGCTCCAGGGTCTGTGATCTCACTGCCACCCTAATCTGTTCAGCGCCAGCAGGCAGAGGGGTGCTGTGGAGCTGCACAAGTTCCACAAGACTCTGGTGTGGAGGACTAGAGTCATGTTGAATTCCTTTGGTTGTGTTTTGCTGGGTTTTTTCTTCCCCTGTTAGTAGCTGATGTTTTTGATCTCTTACAGACAGTGAGCAGTTGGTTTAATCATTGATAGTCATGGTTAATAAAGAGTATTTTAGTTATTGGACTAAAACATTCTTCTGTGGAGATGGACAAATATAACCACTGAGAATTTTTTTTCCATATTAAATGGAACCAGGATTTAGATACTTTGAGTTTTCTCCCTTGCTTTCATTATTCCCTATTTGCAAAGACAGAATTGCAGAATCAATTAGGTTGGAAAAGGCCTCTGAGGTTATTGAGTCCAACCTATGACCCAACACCACCATGGCACTAAGTGTCACATCCAGTCTTTTCCTTAAATACCTCCAGGGATGATGACTTTGCCATCTCCCTGGGCAGCCCATTCCAGTGTGTAAGCACCCATTCTGTGAAGAAATTCTTCCTAAAGAAGACCTAGCATCCAATTAAAAAGTGTATGGTAGACTTACATTAATTTCCTTGAAAATTCAGTTCAGACGGGTAGAGGGAGATTTGACAGATTTCAAGCCTCAGTAGTTCCATAGCCCTGTCTTTATTTTTGCACTTGTAAACACTTGCAATTCAAAGTAGAAACTGAGCATTTTGCAGAGAAAGAGTTGACAAGCAATTTTTCAAAGGCAGTGTTGACACAGGTAGTATCTCATTCTTAAGTTGTGTGTCAGTGCAAATTGTTCGGCTTTTCAGCAAGGTGGATTGTGAAAGTGATCTACTGACTCTAATTTGATTATTTTTCATCTAGCTCTGCCCTGGTCTTCTTTATCCTTTTGTTATGGAAATCTCTGCTTATGCAGGAAGGATCAATTTAATTACAGAAGCCCTGAAGGGGAATGAAGCATTTCATGTAGTTTGTGAAACTGAAGTAGCTGTTCTTGGAAACTTGATTAGTTCTGATTGATACATAATCGTATTGTATAATGTCCATATTTGGCAGGGGGAAACAGAAAAACCCACACCTTAGAAAAACCCCAAACCTAACACAACACAAGAAAAAAAAACTTCACAAAAAAAAATATCCAGGATCTAATGAGCTTTTTAGTTAAAGTAGTTGCAAACCTCTTCCTTCAGTACATGTGGTGAAACTGGGCAATATTAAGAGGCACTACTTTGTGTAAATTTTTCAAGAAAATTTTAATTTCAGCCTTCAGGATAACATTCATAATTCAGCAGCATATCAAAAGAATTCAGTTTATAAGCATTTAAAGAGTTGGGTTTTTTTGGACAACTGGGGGATGTCTTAAGACACTCTGGTAGACAAGGGTCAGACTTTAACCTTACATTAAACACCTTGCAATAGAATGGCTGGTTTTGGATCTGAAATTTTGGAGTCATTCTGAAATAATAAATCAATGAGATTGTTGAAAATAGTTACCTGAAGTATTTAAGTGAAGCTACACTCCTAGGGAAAGCTCTTGGATATTTTAATGTTCATTGTGTTGGTGATTTTTGTAATATGGAACCCTTAGATTAAGATATTGCATAGGGCACTTTTTTAAAAACCTTTCCTGGATGCTTTTGATACTTTAACTTATTAAGTGTTATGCTAATTCTTTTGACACTGTCAGACACCCTGAGGCATTTACATGTGACAGCTGAGGAGAAATTGGAGCTAGCCTCTTACTAGTTCATTCCAGAGTACAGTAAACTCTTCTCCAAGTGGGGATTATGTGAGCTGTTTCAGTAGCGTTATTGGTTAAACTCAGGTTTATTTATTTTTTGCAGCTCCTTGAAGGAGTAGGAAAGCTTAATATATTTTAAGAATTAAATGTAGACCACTAAAATTCAAGTCTAGTAGCACTAAAAAGGATGCACTGCCAAAGCATCCCCTCACTCGTGCTCTTTGCAAGTAGTAAATAACTAAATGTATTAGTTTACAAGGGAGTGAAGACATGGGAACGGAATCTGAACTCAGCAGTCCCACTTCTTAAATCACTGAACAATCTTTTCAGCTACTGCATTAACTTATGGAAATATTTTCCTATTAACAATGAAGTTGAAAACTTTGCTGTGCTTCCATCCTGCTTTTTGCTCCATTACAGTACTTAAAGGGCGTATTTCATCTCTCGAGCTGGTGTCTTCACAGAGCTTGTAGATATGTCGTGAAACCTGTTTGGTTTTTGGGAACTATCAGTCTCTTTGATCACTTGATTGAAGTTAGATAGTAAATAGACTGGGGATGGTGATGTGTATGTGTTAGGAGTGGTGAGACTGAGTAGGAACAGAGGCATCACATGGTGTGACCCATATTAGCTTGGCAAGGCTTAAAAAAGATCACTAGAAATATAAAGTTTTGAAGGATTGGGAAACAATTGTGTACTTTGACACCTTATCCTTGGAGTTACTGAAGGTAAAGATCCCAGCAATTGCTCTTTTATCATGTTTGTTTTTTTTTTTTTTTAATGGCAGATACGGGGGAAACTTAGTAACTTGAATATTCATCTCTTAATTTTGTTTGATTATCAAAGTGTAGGAGAGAAGGTCAAGAGACCTCAGCCTTTGGAGTGCAGTATTTAAAAGGTTTAATTTCTTTGACAGGAAAGGCTATGCTTGAAAACAGAAACTTGTATGTTATCTCTGTCATTCAAAGGCTGTCAGGCCTGTAT